TTCTCCAATTAAAAAAAAAAAGGTATGATGGTGCCAACTTGGGCCAGTGAAGCAACATCCTCCACAACTAGACTGAAGAACAAAAACGACGGCAACTTGTCTGTTCCCCTTCCCCCAATTCCCAGCGCTGTTCCCATCCCCCAATTCTCCAATTAAAAAAAAAAAGGTATTGTTTTCATCTTACAGAGATGCTGAGAAATTTAGAGCCTATACACCACCTACCCTCATTCTGATTGCTGCCAGAGCCTAACTTCACTGGATAAAGAATCAGTGGAGGTGTATATAGGAAAGTGTGTGTGTGTGTGTGTGTGTGTGTGTGTGTGTGTGTGTGTGTGTTGGAATAGTAGGTATAAAACTCAAATTCCATATTATTTCCCTTCCTTAGAGTCAACTGTGTCCTTATTCATTAACCTGGAGTTGAGTCAATGTTTCTCAACATTCTTTGTCCAAATTTTCTCAAGCATCTCCTCACTGCAGGAGACCAGGAGAGCTAAATAAATGGCTGAGAGCCTGATAACCCACAGGATCCAGGATTTGATGAACACTAATGAACTTGAGAAAAGATACAACCTTGAGTCCAGTCCTTGGGAAAACTACAGGGAGAGGATGCAAATGGCAGGGGACTGCCAAGCCTGACTAGTGGATGAGAACTTATAGCAGCTATGGTGGAATGAAAACAGCATGGACTTTGGAGACCCTCCAAAATTACCAGCTGAACAGCCTTTGCCAAGAACTCTCTTAATGGGCGATGTCAGGGGCTCCCCTCTGGTCTGGCAAAACTTCCTCACAACTGCACTGTCTAAACTCTTTTGTCTTTTGTCTCCTTTCTTCCTTCTCCTTTCTCAGGTGTCAGCCCTGTATCACGGGACTGAAGGCTTTCCTTGTCCTGTATGCCTATGAGAGTTGGCTAGATGCTAATAACTTATTTTGATGTACTGCAGAGGAAACAAGAGAAACTAAAGGTAGTCAATGAATAGCTAAGGGCTGAGTGGGAGAGCCAGGGGGCCTGTTTAGTAGCTTGAAGTTGGTTCTGATTTGCTGCAAAAGAAGAGTGAACGATAACATACTCTTGCAGGTTTTCCTAGGGCTATATTAATATATTACCACCCTACCCCTCTGTAATAATATAGTCCAAAGAGACCTGGGCCTTGTGGGTTGTCCCATAGAATGTCACATTGGACCGTGACATTGATGTCATCATGTTGCTCAAGCAGTACAAGCAAGAAATAGTGCCTATCCTAAAGTTGGTAAGACATTGCTAAGGATGGTGGGAGATCAACCCTATGAATATCAGGGATCTGACATTTCAGAATGGCTTCTAGGGATCTAGTGATTAAGGATGTATGAGGATATCCCCCCGAAGTAAAAGATAAACGGCTACCTCTTGCATCCCCTACCACAAAAAAGTACAGTGTCTGGTGGACTTCTTTGACTTCTGGAGGCAAAACATTCCATAGCTGAGCTTCTACTGGATACTGAATGACATGGAAAGAGGCCCACTTTGAGTGGAGCCAGAGCAGGAAAGAGCTCTGCAGCATGTCCAGGCTGCAATACCAGCGTTTCTGTAAGTTGCGCCATACGGTACGACACCACAGACCCTGTGGGATCACATGCGTCCATGGAGGGAAAAGATGTCATGTGGAGTTTATGGAAAGCACCAATGGAAGAACCACCATGTAGGTCTCTGAGGTTTGGGAGCAAGGCCATGATACCTGCAGGGGGGCTTATATAAATTAAGAGAAACTTTTCCTCTTTTGTTACTGGGTCCTGGAAGAGATGGAATGTTTGACCATGGGGCACCAAGTGGCTGTGTGTCCATAACTGCTCACTCTGAATTTGATTCTGCTAGACCCACAAGTCACAGTCAGACAGGTGCAGGAGCAGTCCATCCATAAAACTGAAACGGTACACCTGGGATTGAGTCAGGCAGAGTAGGACAAGGGGCATGAATGAGATGCACAGGCAGGTGGTCCAAGGCCCCATGGTACCCATCACAGTTGTGTGAGGGGTCCCTTCTGACTGCACATATGGCCATAGAGAGGGAACTACAACCAGCTAAAGGAGTAAGAAAACGCCCAGTCTTGGCTTACAGGTGGGTCAGCCTGGGATGTGGGTGTGTGCAAATCATGGGCAATGAATGACCACATTACAGAAGTGGCCCTGAAAGACAGAGGAGAGTGACAATCTTCTCACTGGATGGAACTGTGAGCAGCGTACCTAACCATCTCCATTGTGTGGAAAGATATATTCCTTCGCTCGCTGTTCAGAAGCATAGAAGGAAAAAATCTGAAAGATTGATGATAAGGATGTCCATGGTAGAGACATGTGAATAGACATATCAGTGTGGACCTCAAATGTTTATATCTCACATTAAAACCAACCAGAAGGCATACACCATAGAAGAGGCACTGAACAATCCAGTAGACAAGATGACTCTGCCATGGATGTCAGCCAGCTTTCCACGTCAGCCATCCCAGAACTGGACTGAATAGGCACATGAACAGAGTGGCCACAGGGACAGAGACAGAGGCTATGAACGGGCCTATGTTGTTGGTCTTCCGCTAATGCACCCCTTAACATTCACTCTCCTGGCATTTCATATTTCTCATGTGATGCATGCACCACAATTGTAACTAAATTCATCCTTTTCCCTAAATGAAGACTGAAGGGAAAAAGCACCTCTCTCTAGATTAGGCATTTCATAATTTTCCTTTGTGTGACTGAGAGAACCTTTATGAAGGGGCCTATGGTCTCTTTTTTTATACTAGCGGTCCCTGAGGTTTCAGTCTGGAAGGAGGAAAGAATAATAATTGGATTCACTAACATTGTGGAAAAGGGCTCTGCAGCTTACAGGTACTGGAAAAGCTTTTTTTTTTTCATGACTTGAGAATGTACTGTCCTTGAGAACTAATAATGTCCTCAGCGATATGAATATGCACATGGATCAACAAATATCAACTTAATTAAAAATATCTATTTATGAAAAAAAACAACAACAAGCAGCCAGCAGCCAGAAATATATTTGCAATACATCCCAGCAGGAAAACCGTGCAGGAAGACATAACATTCCCCCAATCAGGCCTGTGAGATTTGGCCTCCAAATCCCCTTCCCCATGCTGGAATGTCAGTAGGTATCTCTACTGCCTCGCCAAATTTCTAGGAAACTGGTCCTGACCCAAAGACTCACACTTTGGAAATCGTATGCTGAGAATAAGAGGGGGAGCTGCATTGCTGATCAATGATCCCCTCACATGAAAAGGAGTGGAGCTCCCATGGGGAGAGATACAGGAATTTCATGGATAGAACGGAGCCCCTTTAGGAAGGGGTTGCCCTAAATACTACTTTTCCACTGAGTTCTGGAAAAGTTGTATTTAGCACATAGCTTTGATTCCTTTCTTGCGCTGCCTTTGCCCTTTTTTAAAAGTACACATTTTGTTGGAAATATAATATAAATGCTAGAACCTCTATACTTAAGTATACAACTCAAATAATTTTGTGTTATACCCGAGAGAGAGAGAGAGAGAGAGAGAGAGAGAGAGAGAGAGAGAGAGAGAGAGAGAGAGAGAGAGAGAGNAGAGAGAGAGAGAGAGAGAGAGAGAGAGAAAGAGAGTCTGCTGACCTCTGAAGGAAAGGGGAAAACAGATGCTTGTAATACATAATTAATTAATAGAATGTGTAATTCTTTCTTGATATCTGTCTTGTCTGGCAAGAGTATAATCTCCCCAAGGGCCAGAACAAACTTGCCTTTTGCACTACTGTAATCTAATTAAATAGCTTACTGTGTAGCATATAATAAGTATTCAGTAAATTTTAGCTGACTTTGGAAAAGACAAAGGAAAAAAACAGAGAAGCAACATGAAGAGAAAGTACCCCCTTAGAGGAGCAGTATTATGAAAACAAACTGCAACTATCAAAGTCTTGAACCTGACAGACTTCCCTGGAGTAGGAATCAAGCATTTCTAAAACTTACCAGTTTGTTCATTTTCATTCTCCTCCTTTCATACTCCTCTGTCCCAGTGGAGAGGAAAATGTAAATCTTCCCATATTAGAGGCTCCCGGCCTCAGTGGATTCCATGTGGTATTGAGTGGATGGTTAAAAGAAAAATTCAAAGAGGGACCAAGGGAGTGGCTTATGTGAAGTAACTGTAATATTCAAATTAAAGCTATAAATCAACTATGCAAATGAGCCTGTGCCCAGGGCAGAATTGCAATTAAACAGCCGGCAGAAGAAAACTTAATAAGCTCTGCCTCTCCTTCTATTACCTTGTGAGTAAGTTTCTGAAAGCTCGGGTCTTGTGGGAACACTGAGAAAGTATAGCTCCAGGCATTCCAGTAGCTCTCACAGCAACTGTACTGGGACCTGGCAGCATTCTAAACCTCCAAAAAGGATTGAGCAGTTTGCATCTGTGTCTCCATCAAAAGGCATTAAATATGCATCTGATCAAAGTAGCGGTTAAGAATATGAAGCACCTAGGGGGAAAATTTGCTGGAAATTATAGCCATATGTACATTCTTTTCCTCTGATATAGGTTTGGGACTAAAATTCTCACAAGAGAATTGGTTAGGGAATGGGAGATCATTCAAAGAAGAATGGTCTTCAAGAGTTTGGGTGAGAGGGTGGACCAAAACTAAGGATTAGTTACCAAAGATGAGACCCAGTCCTGCCCATGGAATTTAATTTGTACCATTTGTTGGTGGCCATAGAATCATAGAAGCTAAGTGACCACCCTTCCTGGTTTGCCTGAGACAGTACCATTTTATATCTATTCTTCCAATATAATTGTTATTAGCACCTCGTTTCATTCTTAAATATGCAGTGGTTAGAATGATAAATTCTATATGGCCATCGCACAAACTAAGGATCTTCAAAATCATTCACCTTTCAGGTAAGTCAAGGAGCTTAGGAAGTCTCAGAATCATAGCCCAGACCGTTATCCATTAATGATGAGTCTAGTAAGTGTCCTGTCTCTGGAATTATTCAAGCAAAGGCTGTACATAAGGAGATGAGGTAAAGGAGATTCAGACAACAAATAGGGACCAGAGACAATGACTTTGTTGAATTTCTTCTTTCCCTGAGATTTAGCAAGAATCAGAGATTCAGCAAGAAATACGCCCCGAGCAGAAAAAACTTCTCAAGTTTCTGAGGAAGGGTGTGAGCCCAAGTTTCCCTCACTTCCTTTACTAGATACTGATCAGGGGAGAAGAAGTAAGATGGAGGGGAAAAGTGAGAGCAGTTACAGGCACTACGCATCTACCTCGACTGAAACCTTAACCCTGGCTCTAGTGTGGATGCCAAGGGCAGCAAATTCTTCTTAGATGCAAGAACACAGGAGTGTGTCAGTACCTAGGGCTTTGTCTCAGCCAGGGTAGGATAGGTTTTGCTGCAGTATTAAACAAAATTTCAGTAGCCTAAAACAACAAAGGTGTATTTTCCTCTCTGCCAAGGTTTCTATCATGCATTGGCTGGGAGCTCTTGTTCTTGTCATACTTCCCCAGGAACTCCTTATTTCCATGGTTATTGAAACAGGAAAAAGGAAATCTTATGAATCTCTGAAAGCTTTTCTGCCTGCTATGACACTCATTGCTTCTACTTACATTTCATTGGCCACAGAAAGTCACATTCACATGGATATCCTAATTTCTTATGGGGAGGGAGGTCTTACCATGTTCATGGAAGGCAGAAAATGGGAAATATTTGGAGACTAGCACCAACTACAGATTTACGGGAGAGAGTATACAGATGGCATGTCACAGTGCCATGTACACAGCAGGAGCCAAGCACATGCCAGCTCCCTCCGGAGAAATGTCCCCAACCTTTGGAACACTTCTCTCCTAGCTCCTCTGTCCTTCCCCTTGGAGGAGATTCCAGGATCAGAGATTGTTTAGTCTGGGGACTCAGAAAGGGAAGAGCCCCGGACAGTGCTGCTCGAGCGGGTGAAGAGTTATTACATGGATCGTAGGCAAGGACTTACTTGTCATATTCTGGCCTGAGCACATCAAAATAGCAGCAGCACTGGTATTTAGTATTAGTATTGCACTTCACTATGTGCCAGGAATTGTCTGAAGTATTTTACTATGTGTTTAATCCTCACAACAGCTACTTAAGGTGGTTGCTATTAGAATGCTCTTTTTACAGATGAGAAAACTGAGGCAAAAAGGTAGAATAATGTCTCTGAGGTCCATGGATATTAAGTATCTGAGCTAGGATACAAACCCAGGTGGTATGTTCCAGAGTCCATGGTCTGTTGCCTGTGTGCTAGACAGACTGATGGAGGAATCAGCACATACTGTCTTGATGCTATTAGGTGCCATTGGATAATGAGAGATGCTGTTGAGTAACAATAGGTGCTATTGGGTAACAATAGATGCTATTGTATAACAATAGATGCCATTGGGTAACAATGGTATCAAAAGCGTTGTTTTCCAGGAAAAGGAACTCCTGGGGCTTGTTGAGATGATTTTACTGATTCCTTAAGAACTTTAGATAGCATTGAATCGCATGGTGATAAGTATATTTCCTTTTCATTGCTTTTTCCTCTTTGTTTCCCAATCCTTTTAAGTATGTCAAAAATAAAGTTTAGATGGCTAAACTTTAGATGGCTAGAACACCCTGGCACTAACAAGCACATCTTATTCTTGCTTTGGTAGAAGAGAAAGGCCTCCAGCACAAAGCCTTCCGCAGGCCCCAGTGTCAGCCCAGAGTTAAAGGACATCCTTTTGCTTGCCTTGTATTTATTGTTACTGTTACTTTCTATTATTGGAAAGTGATGCTAGATATTTATTTATGGCAGTGATGTAGTCTCATGTTAAAACACATTTGTTTAAGTTAAAAAAAAAAGTGAGCTGATATGGTAAGACAGAAAATAAATAACACGAGTGGCATTCAGACTGGTCCAAAATGGTACAAGTGGTAGATAAAAGTCTAGAATTTGGAAAACAGTATTCTGGGCAGATGGGTTTGCAGGGCAGAAACTGGACTTAAGGGAGATGGTAAGAAATTATTTTCCTTTCATTAGCTACTACTCGGTGGTCAGGGAACGAAGATAACAATAAGAATCTCCTCTTTCCCAACCATGACACGTGTTAAAGTGTCCCTGAGCCCTGAGAAGCTACAAATTTAAGGTGACATGAACCTGGGAGGAAGCAGTGAAGTGAAACCAAGAGGGTGTTGGATCAGGCAGGGGAGACATAAAACTTGGCTCGGTAAGTTGCTGTGTGACCCTGGGTGAATTTCCTACCCAGCCAGAGCCTCCAGGCTATCACCTACAAACTGGGAGCCATAAAACCTACCTCCCAGGTATTATTAAGTCATGTCATGGGGAAAGATTGCCTGATTCACCTTGCCAGCTGATGTGAGGGTCAAGCATTCGTTCCACAAGTTTTTTGGTTTTTTTTATTCGTTCCACAAGTTTTTAAGAAACCTACCATGCACTGGGCAGCCAGAAGACAGCCTCAGCTTTTGCCCTTGCAGAGCTGGGTCTAGTGAGCATTTACACAAGAGCAGCAGCAAGAGCAACAAAACCACGGAACTGCCATTAATAGAGGAGTCACCCGAGGCCAGGTGCTGAGCTAAGTGTCCTAGAGGCGCTATCCCATTTCATCCTAATGAGAGGAGGCCGTTGTCATAATTTCCATTTTATAGATGAGAACCTGGAGATTAAAAGAGCTAAGGAACTTAAATAAGCTTATGGAATCAAGGGTAAGGCAGAGAGCCAGGACCCAAACTCACAACTGTTTTCTTCTTACAATAGATGCTATCCTGGAAAATAGAGGGGGATGGGTTTCAGCAAGGAGGATGGAGCCGCAATGAAAGCACTTGACAGAGTCGGCCCGACATCCAGCCAAACACTTTGTGGATTAATGGGGGAAACTTGTTTATACTCATTATTCCTACTGCATTATTTTTGGAATATTTTTAGAGTCAAATCTTCCCCATGGGGCATTTGAAGTACTCCCAGTGCTTGTGCAAGCATGTAGGGGAATTCCATTATTAGAGCAATGCCTTCCCCCCATGCTTCCCAAGCTTTCAGGCACACAGGAATCACCCCAGGGAACTTATTAAAATGCAGATTCTAAGTGTGGAGTGAGACCCAGAGGTTCTGCATTTCTAATAAGCCCCTCCCCCTGCCCCGTGGTCTATGCTGCTGGTTCACAGACTACGGTTTGAATAGCAAGGCATTAAGGCCTTCAGAACCCAGGGGATGGAGATCTCTTCCCACCTTCCCATGCTAAGTCCCCTACTAAGCTCTAAATCAAGGTATAGCCTGTGTGGCTGGTGGGAAAATGGGCGGGACCAAGTAGGGCTGGAAGCACACACAGCACAGCAGCTTCAATGCCAAGAGGAAGAGGCAGGTGGGAAGCCTGCTGGCTCATCAATCCCCACCAGCAATTAGCCAGAGGGAAGCCGGCCTGAGGACGCATTATCATCTGTGTGTCGCTCCAATCCTCCCCACACTCACTGAGGGTACCACAAAGGGCGGGCTATTGAGGCTAATGAAAAAGCCTATAAAATGTGCAGTGAAATTGCATGTGCTGGAGGCGTGGTAGCTCATTTGAGGAGGAGACTCTCTCTCCCCTTGGTGGTGACCTTTTTGCTTAGCGATTAAGTTGTTCTCCTGTCTCTAGCGGTCCAGGTGCTGGGCTGGTGCGTATTGAGCAGATAAGCGGCACCGGGCTGTTCCTTGGGGGTCACCTCATTTCATCTTCGCTCCCACCCAGATTGATAGACAAGGGTACTGAACCTCAGATTCAAACCCAGGGCCGTGGACTCCAAATTCTAGTCTGGAAATGGACCTTCGGGGGTGTGGAGGGGGTCCATCTGTGAACTACCTGAAATCGCATACAAAGCTGTGTGTGGGTGGGCATGTAGCCTTTTCGTGTGTGGATAGGATACCTGTGTTTCCTGAGATTCTCAAAGCCATCTGCGAGTCTCCCACTAGGAAACAGCCCCTCTAGCTAGACTGGACAACTGAAAAAGACATACCCTGGGGCCATGGCTCTCAGGCTTTCCTGGGGGAGGGCCTGGTTTTTCCGGTCAGATTTTTTTAACCCTTCCCTCAAGAGAT